CTGCGCTACTGCGTGCTTATTGGACGGTGAGCATTTTAAGTCTGCTCTACTGCGCGCTTATCGGACGGTGCTCATTTTAAGTCTGCTCTACTGCGCGTTTATTGGACGGTGTGCATTTTAAGTCTGCTCTACTGCGTGCTTATTGGACGGTGCGCATTTTAAGCCTGCTCTACTGTGCGCTTATTGAATGGTTCTGATTTTAAGTCTGCTCTACTGCGCGCCTATTGGACGCTGCGCATTTTAAGTCTGCTCTACTTCTCTAAGGGATAAACGAATTGATTAAAGTCGCCATATTGTGTGTATGTGTACGCATGCGTATGTATCCGTTTAAGCTTCATATATAACTGACTGATTTACATGAAATCTAGTATGAACGTAATGTCATTGAAGGTCACTCTAATCTCATACTTTATAATTGTCTACAATCAGTAATACCAACTTGGCTGAAGCATGAGCTGCGGTGTTGGGAGAGACAACAGTGTCTCTTAATCAAGGGTCCTGACCTTACGAATCACAATTTCCGTTACATAATGATCTGCCAACCTGACTGCCAGCTGCAGTGCAGACCACCTTGACGGTCGGTACAGAACTGCATGTGTCTGGCATTCACACACATTCGCAGTTTGCTCTGACAGCGCTCAAATGCACACGTTGCAGTTGCAGTGCAGTTGCAAACAGAGGAAATAGAGCAGTCTGTTCCAATAGCAAACAAGAACATCTGGCAGTAACTACAGATGCAGTGATACACTGTATGTGCTAATGATAGAGGTTTTATCGGAAAGGTTACATCCTGTGTGACACTGCATACATCATAAATCTATGTAGCGCTGATCAGCTCCTGTAGGATAAGCAGAACGACAGACCAAGCAAAGAGAATGTAATGTTATTGCAACACGTAGGTCCGTTGCCAAGTTAGAGCTGTGAAAAGAGGCGATAATACAACAGTAAGGAGCAGCCGTGCGGTAACGTTGATTCCCCGGCGGGAGAGAACACAATCACGGAAGAGAAGTTTTCTGTGCGGTCCGTACCATGGTTATGTAACGAGGAATAATAGTTCTTGCGTTTCTGAATCCCGTGTGGAGGCGGGGTCGAATACCTCCACCGTAGCCCTGTGAGTCGTAGGAGGCGACAAAAAGGGAACCCAGTATCTAGGGGTATGCTGGGCCACCCTGTTCCTGGGGGATATAAATACGGGGACCTTGCCCTCCGGGTTGGGAGAGTCTTGAATCTGAGAGAGTAAAATGTGGTCATGAGTCTCGCGGGATTCAGACCTGATAATGACTGCGCTGGCGAGGGACAGCAGAAATTGTAAACGACAGACCCATCCTCACATGAGGACTATAAGAACAAATGTTCAGTTGGAAAATTAAAATTCTGGTCGTGGGTTTCAAGGGGCTTGTCGAAAAGAGGGATTGGCTGTAAACCGCTAGTCGTAAAGTAACTCTTATCTGCCGTTATGCAAATTATATGTTTAAATCTAGATTATACACATATAAGCATAAAGGTATCTGATAGAGCCGGGCTAGCGCAGTCGGTATAGCGATTGGCTACGGGCTGAACAACCGAGAGGTCGGAGTTTGACTCCCTGTAGGATCAAGGATTTTCTCTTCTCCACGTCGTCCAGACCGCCCTTGGGGTTCACGCAACCTCCTATGCAATAGGTACAGAGGGCTCTTTCCCCGGGGGTAAAGCGGCCGGGACGTGAAGCTGACCACTCACCTCTAACTAATGTCGAGGTCAAGAAAATGTGGATCTACACATCTAGTTCCACATACGCCTTCATGACGTAGTGCTTAATTAGTTAAGTACAGGGGAAACTTTACCGTCTGCTGTATGCACATCTCACAAATCGAGGAACAGGAACCAGAAAGGAAAATGTAAAGATAAAAAGGCCATCTGACAGAATGGACAATATCACACGTCCCTGCTACATGCTCTGTTGGAGCGCACTACTGACGCATCTTGTGAAGGAAGATGTCTCGAGACATGTTTCTTGCACCAGCCATTTCAGTGAGACACTAAGTATACTGGTCTACCCTCCCCCGGGCCACAGAACTGCGAATTGAAAGCTTGTCCGCGCCCAGACTCTGAGTTATAGCTACAAGTGTTAACTGGCTCGAGCAAAAAAGAAACAAGCCACCAAAAGACAAGTCTAGAAGTTTCTGGTGACGCTATGTTACAGTAAACATACCGTACTAATTTGGACACTGTCCATCATCTTAAGTTGTTTTCAAACAAGGAGTATCGGGAAGGAGGCAGATATCTGTCCATTTGCTTCGGGAAGGAAACTTGGTCTCTGGTAGAGTGATGTCATGGGCTCAGCTGGATAGAAAATTCCCTGCCGCATGTTGTGAAGACGGAAACATATTCCGTTTCCAAAGCGCTGTCTTTCAAAAGACAGAAGTCGATAGCCAGTGTCCACAATAATGATCATGTTTACATGAGAAGATGTCCATGAAGTCTAAATAAGCTAGAGCCTAATTCGTGAGGAGAAGGCGAAGAATAATTATCCAAAGCATAATGACTAAACCTCACGAGACAATCTGACTAGGGGCTTTTTCCCCATGCACACCTCGGTGACACGCAACCAAATGTCCGGACTGCTGTGTCAGGAACACGGGAAGAGAACAGAGTACTGCTGCACTTGTGACCCTAAACCAATTGCCCCGTAAAGATCCTTGCGCGATGCGGTGGCTGACTTCATTGCCCCACCGCAGCGCTAAGTTGGAACTCGTCCCATTAGCGGGGTGGGAGAGATCATTCAAAATGAGATGTGGTTGGCACGGTTGGCACTGACATGCTCAGTGGTCGCCGAACAAGGCGCCAGGTTGCGTGTCGTGTTGTAGAGCGTAGCGGTGCTACGGTGAGCTAACAGACTTAGCGCTCCCAGGAAAGTGCCGGGTTAGAACTGGTGTAATTTCGCCCTGAGATAGTTGCATTGCTGCAGTCCTGTGGTGGAGTTTCCTGCTATATGCTGTACTACACACAACAGAAGGAAAGACTGGAGTAGCCATAGTCGCAATAAAACGGATCTAGCAACCGTAAGTAGTGTCTGAATATATGGACATGCACTGAGTAACGGCCCTGTGGAAAGGGGTTTCCAACGATTACTAATTTCATTAAATAAGTATAACAACTGTTCATAAATTTCAGAAATATATTTGTGAAATATTAATTTTGAAGGTTAGTTAATTTTATTTTTTTGCCGTAGCTCTGAAGTTTTAAGCAGTGACTTATAGCCGTGTAGACGTTAGTTATATCTGAATAATTTGTCAGTTTATTTAAAAAATATTTCCTTATTCTGCTAAATTGCAATTGGTCTCTCATGTGATCGCTATTGGTATAAGGTGTGAGTACCTCACGAGGGTACCATAATAAATGATTGAAACTTCTACCTTTCAAAGTAAAATGTTGAAATGAGTAATAAAAACTCCGTGGCCTGTAGTCCGCAAGCGAATATACCGACCGAGTGATCGCCGCTTGTCGGTGAAGTTAGTGACAACTTTAGCGGATGGAGGGTGTCGCGTGGTCAGCGCAACGGATCCCCACGGCCGTTAATCTCGGTTTTCTAGGCCGGAGCCGCTATTTCCTTAAAATATCTCCTCAATTATCCTCACGAGGCTGAGTGGACCCCGATCCAGACCCACTACTTCTCAGAAAATCTGGTACCCGGGTATCGAACCCGTGACCTCTGGATCTGTAGCCAGGAACTCTGATCACTAAACCACAGAGGCGGTCTTAAAATGAATAAACTATTATAAAAGTAGGTCAAGTCAGGTGACCACGATGTTCGATAAACACTATTTAATAGAATTTTAAATTAAATATATTCATTTATATTCCGTAAACTATTAGCATTTGTTTAGTAATTGTGCGTGTGAGAGCAGCGGATCGCTGGTAAGAATTGTTTTGTAACGTTTTAACTGTACAGTTTATGAAGCATGGCATTAGATGTAAGGCTGGCCTTTATGGCTTCTTAACGTCTAAGCAGTTGATTACTTTCAGAGATAAAATATTGAAAGATATGAATGACGGATAACCCGTCCCTACAGGCAGTCAACCTGCACCTTCTGCAAACAACACATAAATATAATGCCGTATTCTGGGATGCGGCGTCGTGTAGATATTGTGTTAACCGACGTTTCGGAGGATCGTATCGCCTCCATCTTCAGGGTATAAGAAATCTGCGTGAGCAGGTTGCTGCAGACTGCCCTGAAGATGGAGGCGATATTTTCTTCCGAAACTTAGGTTAACACATTATCTACACGGTGCCACATCCCACAAGACGGCGTTCTTCACAGTCACCGCCGTAAAAACCTCAAATCTTACAAAACACATAAACAGACCCATAGCAATATTTGTTTTGGGGACCGGTTTAGTGATTAGATAAAGGAACTTCTGGATGCGAACCGGCCACTCTGAACACTGTGCTACTTGACACGGATTGTTAACACTATAAATTGCCAGTCAGAAATGTATATGTAGATAAGAACTGTATTAGCTTCGAAGCACCTCTGTTTATAACAGACAGGCGAACGTATATCTGAGGAACACGCTGGCTTGTGAGAGCATACCGGTGTACACCTCCTGGCAGACGCAGCAGCACGTGGGAGAACACAAGATAGTGAGTTACGTTTATGTGGCTACACGCATGCGTGCTGTGAGTTAGCAAACCTAACCCAGGATAGCATTCACAGCCAGTTTCCCCCCACCCCTCTGCTTGAAGCAGGACTCGCATGGCCTGAAGTTCCAGTGCAATTGGATCAATCTAGAACTCTAGAACATGGTAAGGCATTTGCAGGGCTCTGTTTAGACTGTGTAAGTTCTCACGAGGACCTTCGGGGACATGAGGCTGTGTAGTTTCGCTTCGGAGGGACCTACTGCTGCTGGCTTCAGGAGCAATCTCTCCCCTCTCCATCTCTTCCGAAACATATCATAAGAGACAGACAAATTTTCTAGTCAGAGAGGTTATTACATAAGGACTATTACCGCAAGGGTTCAGTTGAGAAAAAAAGAACATCGCTGGTCGTGAGTCTCAAGGGCTTGACGCCAAAACGAACTGATTGGCGGTAAACCGCCAGTCGTAAACTAACTGACTTTGACTTTGACTAGAATCAGAAGTGAGCTGGCAGCTTCAGCACAGAACTGAGAGAGTCCAGTCGAACGTAATGGAGAATAATGGAAAGAAAGGAATTAAGCTGTGCCAAGAAGACTTCGTGTGTGCTGTATTGACAGGGAGACTTAAGAACCGTTGCCAGGAAACGGTTAGTGGAGAATGATATAGGCTGAGGACAGTAGTGTGTGTACAGTGACCTTTAAGTGTGGGAAGAGTGACAGCACTATAATTAATTAGGTATCAATAAATCCAATCATCCTGTCCAAAACCCGTCTAATAGTCACGCAAACTAAATCGTGACAGTATGTATCACCCAAAGGCCAGCTGTTAAGAGGAAATATGCTTATTGATCATTACCGTACTCTTTTAATGTCGTACTTTAACTCATAATTATAAACAAGAAAATTGTTAAGGACCCAGTTTGAGGAGCCTCTCATGTCACTAAGGACGTACATTTCGTGGTCATGCGTCTTGCATAATTGCACTGGTAGAGTCTGTTGCATTATGGACGCTGATAAGTGCAATTACTCAAGACACGTGAACACGAAATCATCACGTAGGGAACTAAGGGATTCCGACAGTCACATAAATCAACATAAGAACTGGTTCCACTAGTGATAGAACTGCTGCATGAATTCCTTTATCTAGCTGTCAGCAAATTAACTTATCGCACAAGCATTACTTCAGTATGTTGCATACCACCCGACCGCGTACTAAGGATCACATCGGGAATATACACACAGTGTCTCGTATGAAGAACAAGGAATTACTGGTTTCCCTTGCTCAGTGGCTCTCCAAAATAAAAAAGTATTCTTCTGCATTAAAATAGTTAACTTATGAAACTGATTAGGGGCACGCGGTAGCGTAGTTGGATAAGGCACTATGATACAAGGAAGAAGATCGCGGGTTCGAGTACTACAATCGTCGTCGAGCCCATACGTTGAGCGTCACGCTCTGACTGCCCCACAGTTGCTCAACGTTGGTCTTTGGCCGCTGGCTGCTGGACTGCTACGGGCGACGGCGGCTACAGCTGACTTTACCCTGCTTCACTTATCCTACTTTCACACCTCTGATATTTAGGGGGATGGGTTTGGTTTGGGCGCCAGTAAACTTCTACCCTCAGTTTACAGATTTATGAAGCTGTGAAGGATTGATAAGAGGGTAGCAGTCGGGGTAGCTAGTTCTGCCGGTAGAGCTAAGATTCTGACCTCAGGCCGTTTGGCAGGGTCTCGCTCAGGAAGGGAAGTGGGAACTTCTGTTGTAACACACACACGCACGCACACACACACACACACACACACACACTTTGTTCCACAAAACACTTTATTAAACTCTTGTCCATAGTGGACCCCACTAACGCACTACATTCAACTTGTGTCCGCTGGGTTTGCGATCTTGAACCAGACTCCTTCCAATGACTTCTCTTTTAGAATTTGCGTCCTAATAGTTTTTCGATCTTGAGGAAGACTCCTCGCAGCATTTGCGTCCGAATGGTTTGGGATTTTGAATGAGACTCCTTGCAGAATTTGCGTCCGAATGGTTTGGGATTTTGAATAAGACTCTAGAATGCCTTCTCCTCGCAATCCTCGGAGTCGTCTCGGTCCACAAGTAAACTCCAGAAATTACGAGGATTGGTCATTTTCAAAAAAATGGGAGTACACTAATTAAGTATTCCCCCAATCCGTTTACGTATTACAGGGAATTTAGGCGCTAAAACTTAACGTAAAATCTGTCAGTAGCTTGACAAATGTTACGCTTGGCTTGGGGTTGGGAGACCACCCATATTTTGAGTTATGGGTTCAAAACTGTCACTTATTGTGTTCTCGAAGGATTAAGACAAGTAAAATTTTGTGTGACTTTCTAAAGAACCAAGGTGCCGGGGGGGGTCTTCCTCTTTCGTTTCGCATCTGCCTTGACCAGTCGTTTTTCTATTGTCTTTTTCATTGGAGAGTTTGGGCTAAAACTCCTTCTTGAGGGCAAGAAATAGCCTACGTACCTCTCGTCCATTTACTGTAGGTTATAAGTAAACCTAAACGAACAGGTTGATTTTCTCGGATCCAAACATTCTACTAAATTAAAGTGAGCTGGGGTAGGCAGATCGGTTACAGTACCGATGAGGTCACTTGATTTTTCAATTGACCTAATCCTTCCAGCCGCTCTATGGCCCTGAGGTCAACTCAGCCTCTAACACAAATGAGTACCAGGAATCTTCTTGTGGGCGGCCGGCGTGTAAGGCTGACAACCTCACTGCCATCTGTGAGCCGATTGTCTGGAAAATGTATGAACCTTAACGTCTCACAACCCTATGGGCCTCCACGGCCTGTTACAGGGATAGCTTTACCTTAACTTTTTACGTGAAAAAATAACATATGAAATTTTTGCCGTATGTTTCACCTAAACCTACTTCTAACTGTTTTCATTAGTGACCGAACATATCTGCAGAAATTGGCTTGAATGTGTGTGGTCATACATCTCACATTCTTCGTAAATCAGTAGATTTAATTTAAGTTGCATAAATATCTGAGTAAAGCACTTACCAAACATTTCAAACATCTCTTTCCAGAGCTTCGGAAGGAGAGGACAGGGATGAGGTTGTCTTGCGTTCATTTTGTCAAATGGAGTATACACCAGCGATAATGTTCTTTATCGCATTCCCTTGGACACAATATTAGAAACGTGTATTTTCATGGGACATACAATGGAAAATGTTCTCTTGAGCAGATTCGCTTTTCGTCATTCTTCTGTAAAAAGAATAATTCGCGTGAAATTTCAAAATAATTATTGTCTGACCAGCATGTAACATTATACGGTGTGAAAATATAAATTATTCACGGAAAATGCTAAGAGTAAATACTACAAACAAGTAACCACTAAACAATAACAATTACACTCCCCGATGATGTCATTGGATTTTTTCAATTGACC